CGTGGCCCTGCCGCCACTTCGCCGAGAAGGAGCTGGCGCCGGCGGCCGCTCAGCTCGACAGGGAGCACCGCTTCCCGGCCGCGCAGGTGAGCGGGCCCCGCGCGCCGCCCCCAACGCCGGCACCAAAGCGGCAGGAGCCTCCAGCACCGAGCCCGCCGTGTGCCCGTCGTGTCCCCCTTCCCCGCTAGGCGACAAGGAAGGATAGGCAGGAAATTCACTCCCTCTCTAGAGAAGATAAAGGTTCCCTGCCCTCCCACTGGTCTTACCTCATCATTTTGTATTTGATCTTGGGGATTCTTGCTTGAAAGTGCAGAGGAAAATTCAAAATATTTTTCTTTCTTTCTTTCTTTTTTTTTTTTTTAATAAATCAGTGAACATAGAGCTGGTTGCTCTCTTTCCCCCCTCTGGATTTGATGTAAAGGACTAGCATTTCGAGAGCTCATAGGGGAAGCAAAACCCTTTTTGAAAAAAATCCCTGCTGGTCCTATTAAAGCAGGCAGAAGCTTGTAAAAAGAAAACTTATTTCTGCAACACCAAAAGTTTAGGATAAAATAATCTTAATATATCTTAAATATAAAAACAGATAAACATTTGTTTAAAATCTTAATTTGAATTACAAAATTCAGTTAGATAAAAGCAAGCAATGCGGAGCAGTCTGTGCTCTGAGGAGCTTCAGGCTAAGAATCCAGGTGTCCAGCTGAGAATAACTGTGCACCGTGAGCGGTCATTAACTTCTGTGACAAGCAAGACCTGGCTTTAATGGGAATTAAAACCCAGCTTCTTGCAAACTGTTCTGTGGGTCATTCACTCTGTAAAATTCTTTCCTTGTGCAGTCCTAGGCTGAAGCACAGCAGACTTGAAGGTAACGTAGTAATAATTTTTATTAGCTATTTCCCATTGCGAGCTTCCAGCTGACCAAGTAACTGAGGGAAGAACTCTGGTGGGAGACTGAGGCAATTGAGATAATGTGGAAATTCCCTATTTCAGATAGGAAGGGCTCTGTTCGTTCAGGCAGCAGAGTGAGCTCTTTAAACAAGCAGGAGCCAGGTCCTCATTGACACTGGCCATGTGCAGCGCTGGTTAAGGCCACTGGGACCCATGGGTGCACAAGTGACTGCCTGTGCAGGTGGATCCCCATTTGGCTGCTGGTCATGCACGTGTCCTGCTGTGTGTAGCCTTCACCTGTGTGTAGGGGCGTGTTTGTGTGGGTGTTTCTGTGGGGATACCAGCGATGCCCAGGGGTTTCTCTGCCTGCAGGTGAAGAAGATGGGTGAGCTGGGGCTGATGGCCATGGACGTGCCGGAGCAGTACAAGGGAGCCGGCCTCGACTACCTGGCCTATTCCATTGCCGTAGAGGAGATCAGCAGGGGCTGCGCCTCCACGGGCGTCATTATGAGCGTCAATAACGTGAGTGTCCCCCGAGAGGCCATGCGGGGCAGGAGTGGAACCCAGTCTGGCAGCTGAGCGGGTGGTTGTGCCACTGGAGAGGGGAGAACCGGAGGAATGGGATATGTTACCCAGTGCGGGGGGTTTGGGAGCCCAGCAGAGCCGTGGGGGAGTTCGTAGCTACCAGATGCCTCTAAAACAACTCTCATTTTTTAAAGTCTCTTTACTTAGGGCCAATACTCAAGTTTGGTTCTGAAGAACAGAAGCAGGAGTGGATTACGCCCTTTACCAGTGGGGAGAAAATTGGATGTTTTGCCCTTAGTGAACCAGGTGATGTGACTGTTATCATTCCTGTGGCAAAGTAAGTAGGGTACCCTCTTCCCTTAACCAAATTTAGGATAGACTTCAGATCTGTCAAGCAATAACGGTCTACAGAAGAGTAATTTATAGCCGTTCCATTTAAATGAAGCTTCAGCAGGCAAGGCATTAACTGCCACCCGTGTTTTGTTTGCCTGGTGCCTTGATCAGGAAACGGCAGCGATGCAGGAGCTGCTTCCACCGTGGCCCGCCTGGACGGTGACGAGTGGGTTCTGAACGGCACCAAGGCCTGGATCACCAACGCCTGGGACGCGGCTGCCACCGTGGTGTTTGCGACCACCGACAAAGCCCTGAAGCACAAGGTGCCAGCTGTGAAAGAGGGCTGGGAGGAAGAAGCCCTTTGCGAAGGCCCTGGGGACAGTTAGTGCTGGGCAGGCATTGAGGCAGGAGGATTAAAGCGCCATGACTTTGTTCTGTCACTCAACACCCACCCCAACCCTTTTCGTGGTTACCTGAGTCTGTGACTCCCCTGAAAAATATTTGACGGTTCCTGTGGAGTCCTGAGTGTGTGCGTCTTGTTGCAGGGCATCAGCGCCTTCCTGGTTCCCATGCCCACTGCAGGCCTCTCGCTGGGCAAGAAGGAAGACAAGCTGGGAATCCGGGCGTCTTCCACTGCCAGCCTCATCTTCGAGGACTGCCGGATCCCCAAGGCCAACCTGCTGGGGCAGCCGGGCATGGGCTTCAAGATAGCCATGGTGAGACGGGGGTTTGGGGAGGGGGCAGCTGGGCTTGGCTCAAACAGCAATTCCAGCTTCGCCTCACTGAGGCCTCTCAGGATTTGCAAAAACCGTTCTCAGGCTTAACAACCACTGGGACAAAACCCGCTACCATAAGCTACTCTGTAGCACTAGGCAGCCGACCTTTGGCAAGCAAGAGAAATCATTGATAGAGCTGGAGAAATCCTTGGTTTGTCATAAACCAGAGGCAGCACCTTCCTTATTGTGCCTGTGTGAGTGTTAGGTAAGGGAATGTCAGTGCAGCTGGGGCGGGTCATCTTTATTCTTAAAATTTTTCTCCTCCTCTTACAATCAAAAGTTGACTGTTCCCCCCTAGGAACTTGCAGGAAAAAGAAAAGGAATAAGTGCTGCATTTTTTTTTCCCTAAATACTTTGGCAAAGAAACACTGTCCTAAATGCACATCCAAAGAAAGAGGGATGAGAACTGAGCTGCATGTGTGACTTCTGAGGAAGAATCAGGCAGCTGCAGAACAGCAGGTTCCCTGCCATGAAGCGGTCCCGTTTGGATATGTTCATTGCTTTTCCCATAAGGGCAAAACACCAGCTGTTAGACCAACTTTTTCAAAGAGTCTGAGCTCCCTGGAGAGCAGAACCCATCCTATTATGTCCAAAAATAAGGGAATTCCCCAGTCACCAGACAGTTTTTTTTAAGGCTGTCAGGCCAAGGCATGTTTTTTTTTTTTTTTTTTCCTCTTTTTTTCCCCCCATGCACATGGTGAGGCCAGAAAGTGTAATGCCATGTGTTTTAAGTCAGATTTTTGGTCCTCCCAATTCACTAGGCTCTTTGGAAGTGCTCGTTTAAGTGTGTTTATCAAAAAAGGGTGTAAAAAGGAATGGTGAGCAGCTTTCCAACTTTCACATGCTGTCAGATGAGCTGTACAGTGAGCCAGAGGAGGAGTTCACTGAAGGCTTCCATTCAGCTCTTGCTGGAGCAGCTGCTCCCAGGTTTGCTCTGTGTCTGGATGTGTTCTGCTCAAGAATAGCTTAAACACATCCGCTGTGTGTTTTCTTTTTTTTTTTTTTTTTCCAGCAAGCCCTGGATGCAGGAAGGATTGGAATCGCCTCACAGGCTCTTGGAATAGCCCAGGCAGCTTTGGATTGCGCTGTGGAATATGCTGAAAAGAGAACGGCCTTCGGGTCGCCCATCACGAAGCTGCAGGCGGTTCAGGTAGGGCCGGGGCGGGCGCTGGCGCTTGCTGACCTGGAGAGCGGCGATGCTGAAGGACAACGGGAAGCCCTTCACCAAGGTGCGTGCGGCCGGGGCAGCCGTGTCAGCTCTGCACGTAGGCTCAGGGCAAGAGAAACCTGCTCGCAGTGTCGTGTCTTACTGCGCTTAGCTCTCACTAGCCAGGATAGCTGTGTTTAGCCCTCCAGTAGTTTTTTTGAACCATTCTGTTGTCTATCTTGCCAGCCTGTAGTTATCTTAGGGGACAGGAGTGGCCTCAGAGCCAGAGCCCCCGGTCAGACCTGTCTCCTGTAGCTGAGGCCTCCACGTGTTTAAGCATCTCGTGCAAGTGTCATGTTTGTTTTTTTGTGCTGCCTGCCTCCTTGGTGATCCTTTCCCTCTCCAAAGGAAGCTGCAATGGCCAAGCTGGCTGCATCAGAAGCTGCGACAGCCATTTCTCATCAGGTAATGGCACAATTAGTCTCAGCTGGGCATTGTGCTGAGCACAGGTGCAATAAGATGGGTGGTGGGGTATTGTACTATCTCTGCTAGACTATTAACGAGAGAGTTTTGTATGTATCAATCTCAAGCTGGAGCTGGATGCCATGGCCATCCCGCTGGGGTGGGAGGTGTGGAGAGGTTCCTGCACTGACGTGCAGCAGCTCTGTGACCCTTCACAACTACCTTGTTCTTGGTGGTGTCCAAGCAGCCTTCTTGGGTTTTGACTGGGTGCAGGAACAGGGGAAGAAGCATGGGTGCCCCACACAGGACGAGCAGCATGTTTGTCTCACAGAGGGCAGAAGGAACAGGCCCGCTGGTGTCTCTTTTATTTTTCTCCTGCCCTTGAAGCTTTCATGGTGAAGTTAGCTAATTACTAAAGACCACTGTGTTGGCTCCTTCCCTGCCTGGGCTGGATCAGTGCTGCTGTTATCCAGTGCAAATCCAATTTATTCTGTTTGCAAATGGCAAACAGCTTCCTGGGCTCCACCAGTTATTCCTGCAGAGGGATTAGCACCTTTCAAGCAGGATGGGCTTTGTGGAAAGTAACTGCCTTACCTGCCCTGTCCTCCCCCTTCATTTTCCTTTCTAATTTTCAGGCCATCCAGATCCTGGGCGGGATGGGCTACGTGACGGAGATGCCGGCAGAACGGCACTACCGCGACGCCCGCATCACCGAGATCTATGAAGGCACCAGCGAGATCCAGCGGCTGGTGATCGCGGGGCAGCTGCTCAAGGCCTATCGCAGCTGAGGGCGCCGCGAGGCGGCGGCACCGCCCGTCGCGCCGCGTCGAACGCGCTGCAGCGGCCCGCGCACGGCCTCGGCCAGGAGGGCACCGGGGAAGCTTCCTCACTCCTCACTGACCCTCCTCTTAACACGTGCTCGTTCTTTGGACAAAGTTTGGTGCCTAGACATCCGTGTCGAGGTGTGGGGAGAGCGGAGACACCGCTGGCTCTGGGGGTGCAGACCCTTCCTCAGGGGAAGGGCCCTTTGGAGCTGGCAGAGGTACCAGGACTTTGTTGCTCCATGCAGTCACTCTGTGTAAATGGCCCAGCTGTTTCTTGTTTTGTAAAGATTCGTCCCACCACAGTACACCATAACCAGTGCCTAAATCCAAGCGGAGGTACGAGGAGGCACGAATGCCATGTTCCGCTACCTCTTGTGCTCCCAACGTCGAGTTCAGGTGGGGGAAGCTGCTGTCCACAAGCTCATTCCTGGGTACGGGCTGCACTGAGACCATCCTTGCTGCTGATCCAAGGGGCAGCAGTGACGGGGGCTGCTGCTGCAGCGAGCCCTGGGACCCGGGGTGCCACGTACCCAAAATGGAGCTCACAGAGACTGCGCTCGCTCTCTATGGTGGCACAAAAGCAAAGAGGGTAGAATTCTGTTTCGGCCACCAAAGAGCAGCAGCTCAGATTCAGCTGTGAAAGAACCCTCAGCTTTTCTCTTGCTCAGAGAAAAGGTCAGACATAGAGGCAAAAATAAAGGGCAGGAAAACCCACATATGTAGGAACCCTCACCTCAAAGCAGCTCACGTGAAACCAACCACTGTCTAAAAGACAAGACAGTGACTGATGCGGCAGTAAGAGCCTTTAATCTCTGCTGGCTTTGGGAAACAACCAGAAAATGAGGACATGCTACAGAAAAAAAAAAAAAAAACACACAGGAAGCTTTAACAGTAGCACATGGCCTCAATCAGTTGTTTTTTTTTTGGCAAGAAGGGAACTTCAAGAACATAAACAGCAGACGAGAAGGCTCTGAACAGATGCTGGAGCAGACTGAGACTACAGCCCACCCTCGTGTCCAGAGAACACACTACAACCAATGGTTATGTTCCTGCAGTGTCATTTATTTATATTTGCATTGAGAGAAAAACGACAAGATTAGCAACATTACACAGAAGACAACAGATTAGAAAATAAAACCTGCATTTAAAGGACCATCAGTCCTCAATTTAAATGAGATTTCATTCATTGTCTTGCAGTTCCCCACAGCCAGAGGCACAAACAGAGTAGCTCAAACACACCATTTTTTTTGCTGTTCTTTGGTCGTTGGGCAGATTTCTCAGCATTGCAGCTCCTCCCCTTGCAGGTCATTAGAGGCACCTGCACGATGGGGCAAAGTCCTGGCAGCAGCTTCAGTCTCATCTTGCTGCTCTCTCAACCCTGAGGATCAAGAGGAGCAGCCAGACGGTGAATTCAAAATGCCTGTTTCTATTAGGGAAACAAAATCTTGTTTGTTGTAAATATTTGAAGGCTTCCAGGCATGAACAACACACAGCCAGCGTGATTCCTGTGATTTTGGAGCACTTGTTTGTACAGTCATGGAGGAGGAAGGGGGTTTTGGTTTTGTGTGTTTACACGAGGAAGCCGTTTTTCCCTCGCAGCCCCTCAGCTGGAACAGCAGCTCCAGGAAAGCTCCAAGAAAGTGCATGCGTTGTGGATGCCGCGTTACCATTAAGCAGAAGCCTGTGAGCGAGGCCTGGCTGGATCCCCCAGGCCCATGGGCTGAATCAGGCCACGCCTGGGGCCCCGTCCTCCCGCGCCG